GTGTGGCGCGGAAGAGAAGAGAGATTATGTGCAATCGTGGGGCGATCTAAAGATGACGGGACGAAGTAGAATATTCTAGAATAGCCTTCAATAACAATATTGCGATCACCACTACGACCCATTCTATCCAAAATTTTCCTTACGAAACTAGAGAATGAGTCTTTGAAAGATGTAAGCGGTAAACTAGAATTCTACTGTCGATACTTGGATTATGCCATTTTTCATTATGAGAAGTGAGGATAAAGGAAAGAACCTCCTGGACAAATTAATTGATTTTCATCCTGAATTAAATTTTAGCATCAACAAAGAAAGAGACTCTAGTATTTTATTCCTAGACGTCGTCATGACTAGAAAGGAGAACGGTACATTCAGAAGAAGTGTATATAGAAAACTTATATCAGCTGTTCAGGATACTCATTTTTTTTCAGCCACATGCCTTTGAAATACAAACGCAGTATAATAAAGTACTCAGTCCATAGAGTAACAGCAATCAGCTCTGATGAATGTCTTAATGAAGAGCTTAATATTATTAAACAGTCGCTGAGTGACAACGGTTACCCAGAAAAATTTATCGATAAGAATATGAAGCAAAAGTCAAGGCAAGCTGAAGTATCAACAGTTCCCAAAAAAAGGTTTTATTCTTACAACTTCACTTTCTTGAGGATAACTGCAGTGAGATACTAATACAACGTCTAAGGAATGCGGTAAGAAAAGAATTCAATGCCTCTGAATTATACTGTCTCTTCAAAACCAGCCCTATTTTGCTTTCGGGAGTTAAATGAAAACTGCTTATTTTTGACTTTTCCATGTGTATCTACCAGTTTGACTGCTCCTGTGGAGTCAGTTATATAGGCCTTACAATTAAGCATGTTTCTCGTCTGATTTCCGAACATCACCCTGCGTGGTTAAGTAAATGACAAACAAAATCTATGCGTAGAGCTATTCTGTTTCATCTTGTGGATACAGAACACAAGACCGATGTCAACCGGGCAGCTTTCAAAGTCATTTACCATATACCAACTAATCTTAACTTTGCCTTAAGAGTTCGACTATTGCGCATTACTGAGGCTGGCTGTTGGGATCCATATTAACAAACCTATGCATCTTAAAGAAGAAGTTGGTTCAGACACTGTCCTTACTTCAGCCATCAAGGTTTACATGATTCTCAGTTTGTTGTGGAAATTTCCTAAATTTTATGCGATATTCCAGGAGCCATTGCATTTTTATGCTGATTATAATTTATGCATCTTTATGCACTGTAATTCCTTTGATATTACTTAACTAATTGATAGTATTTGAAAACATCAATATTGTTAATGACGACTATTCTAGAATATTCTATGTATATAAACATATATATGGTTGTAGAGCCTGAAGCAGAAACCATCCAAAAGGATATTCTTTGATTTTACGAGTTGATCACGGATTGATATCATTTAGAGAACCATTGAGAACCAGCACTGACGTACTGGACAGCTGTTTCATCCTAGTTTGGGAATCATCGACAATACGCACTCATCACATTGGTTCGAACCCAGGACATTCCGGTTACAAGCAATCAAGCTCCCTGGTTTTTCAATGGTTCTCTAACTGATATCAATCCGTGATCAACTCGTAAAAATGTAACCAACCCTTACAAACCAAACTATAGAAAATCAATCTGATGCTCGCTAGTGACTTGCTATAAGACGGGCTTTCCTGAAGTTCTAGTGAGAAGTCGTGACCAGTGAGGTCCATCCAGATGTCACGTGTGGGGATGGATGTCCCACCAACTACATTGGTTGGAGTCGCGCTAAATCACGAATTGGTAGAAGTTAGAATTCATGAACTGGCGGCATTTGAATCGGGTCGCAGTGACTGAATGGTATATGAGCTTGATTGCTTGTAACCGGAATGTCCTGGGTTCGAACCAATTTGATGAGTGCGTATTGTCGATGATTCTCAAACTAAGATGAAACAGCTGTTCAGTACTTCAGCGCTGGTTTTCAATGGTTCTCCAACTGGCATCAATTCGTGGTTAAACTCATAAAAACATAACTAACCCTTACCAACCAAACTATAGGATATTCTTTGCTCAGTATTTTCTTAAATGTCCACATAAATATTTTCGCTATATTGACAAGTATGTGTTTAGGAGAACCTTCGTTCCCTTGTGATCCCAGTGGGTATAGGGTTTCAGTCTTGAATCTTGAAATTTCTGTAGTAATGGTTTTGTTGCTTTTATGCGATAGGGTTACTAATCTCATACCTAAACTTTTATTTTCACCTAGATTACAACGGGTTAAGCCAAATTTAGAAGTATGTCGGCTGGGTATGGAACTTTGGACCACTTGTGTGATTGCTGAGTACTGTCATACTAAGCTACTGACCCACCATGTGGAAGAACTATAGGCACTGCCGTATATTATCGAATGAGTTATTGTTCTGTAAAGGATTCAACATAAGAAATGACGTGTTACTTTATTAGATACTATCATAATTTGACCATGTTCTATGTTCACTGATTACAGTTAACTAAAAGATAACTCTGGAAAGAAGTGTATTTACTTTTGAAATTGATCTGTGAATTGGCATCAAAAACTATACAACAGCCTTACTGTAGAATATTCCCGCCTTTATTCTATCATGAGGTCGTAGTGACAAGAGAAACATTAAGTATACAATTAAATTCGATCATTGCCTAGTTTCAATTCTGAAATTCACATCGTGCAATCCAACAATGAATTCAGCTAGTGCTAAGAGGAAAAATGTTTACTCCCCTTTTAAGCGATCCAGTTTAGCTTGTCACTGAGAAGGTTTTTTGCGCCACATGCACCTGATTTGGTGCTAAACTGCATGTACACTGGTCTGATAGACTTGCTTCAGGGTTGAAGCCTTAAAATTTTGGTTCTATGCACCTGAGGAACCGGTGTTTAGGATTACTGGAGTACAACTTTGAGTAGTAGATCATTCGGCTCGTGTGTCGATGAAGAATGCAGTCAACTTTATGAATAAATATAAACTGCATACCGCTATGAACATCGACATCTTGAACGTATATTTTGCCTACGAGTTATCCTGTAGCCAAGTCTATCTGATGGTCCGCTTTTCATCTATCATGATACACTTTAATTTGTGGACTGGGCGAGTGACTACCGGAGTGTATATCCGTATATCAAAGCGGTTTGCTGGTCAAAAGCTTAGTTGTAATTTGTCCGGACACAGCCTAATCTGGTATAAAACTTCTGGTTGTGCTCGCGTCGTTGCTTAGTGATATACGCGTATACAAATATATAAACCATCGAGAGTACATAACCCATCGTGAATATATATATATATATATATATATATATATGGACTATATTTCTATGCATTGAATATTGTTGCACCGAGAGTGTAATGCAACCATTAGATCTGAGTTTCACAAGTAATACCGCTTAACTGGTGGATTCATAATACTACGAATTTCATATCAAATAGCATCAGTAGATTAAATTTATTGAACACACTAGTCAAGATCACTATAAAAACTAAATGTGTAATTTGCCACATGATATGTGCTCATGCCATCACTTCTGAATGTTTGAAAGGAAAGGGATTAACCTTTTGATTTTCAGAAAATTCATCTTGTAAAACTAAGAAAGGTGGCCTACATAAGCCTACCTCACGAAAATGGAGATTTACGTGGCTGGTAAACATAGGAAATCTGAATTTCGTGGGTGATTAATATTTTATCCTGTGCGAAATCGAAGATAAACAAGAGTAAAAACAGAAATTTGGCAGAAGAATTAGCGAAGGCAGGATTTCAGTTGAACATGGAGAAGACAGACCAACCAACAATTAGAATTTCTAGTCCATATCGACGAGATAAATCAAAGAAGGCTTGATATTTCACTTATCAAAACAGTATCCTTCTAACTGAAAATGTAAAAACCAAAGTAAGGAAGGGAAACAGGCGTTGATTACTCTGAAATCGGGTCTAGAGATCTACAGTACTCGTTACACTAGGACAACATCCAAATTTTCAGCATTACTGTCAAATCTGTGCTTCTCAATTATTCAAAGACTTCGTACATCATCAAAGTAATTTCAACTACCCTTTAAGCTTTTATCAGCAATTGATTTCTCTTCGTCAACGAAAAAGATAGGCAATGAGGAACCCTAAAGGCGAATCAGCCTTCAGCTTATCACCCAGGAAACATGTTAAGAGAAAAAGAGATGTTTACAGGATATCATTATGAGCTGACATCAGTTAGAGAACCATTGGTAAACCAACGGGGAATATTGCCAGACAGCTATTTTGTCCAACTAGTTTGAGAGTGGCTCTTCGTCAGTATGCACCAACCCCACTGGCTTTCGAACACACAACCTTCTGGTTATAAGGCTAGCGAGCTCGTAGATCATGAATCTCAACTTCTGACAATTCACAACATACATACAGCGACCACTAGCCAAAAGTTGGAATACATGAACCATTCGATCCAGTCCCAGTGGCTTAATGGTCTACGAGCTCGCTAGCCTTATAACCAGAAGGTTGTGGTTTCGAAAGCCAGTGGAGTTGGCGCACACTGATGAAGAGCTACTCTTAAACTAGTAGGACGAAACAACTTTCTGGCAGTGCTCCCGTTGGTTTACTTATGGTTCTCTAACCGATGTCAGCACATGATGAAATCCATAACCAATCAATCAAATCCCAACAAACCAACACTTGAAATTGAGTTGGATCAGACAAACTCTGAGGACACCTTCATAGGACTATTCATGTCATGTCATCGAGTAGAATTCCTCCATTGGGTAGCAATGAATTGGGTGTCTTAAAGTAACATGGAAAAGAAAATCACTTATAGGGAGGAAGTAAAAGCTTGTGGGTATTTGTGGATCCAGGTGACCAACTGGAAAAGAAGTGTAGTTCTGATGAAGTCTTATAATCCACTCAAAACTCGACGAATGAATGACTCTCATTAAGTATTTAAAAAAAGAGTTAAAATATCTAGCAAAATATTTTACCTGTTTAGACTCACCTTTTCTAATTTATCTGGATGTATTGTCAGGTTGATTTGTGGTTTATATAACTCTTCAAAATCAGTTTTATTCATCTTAATGATTGTTGTTTCATTAGAATATTCATTCGTATTTACTACGATGTCCTGACCCTCTATAGCCATCGAATTATCTTTATCAGTATACACTATTGTCTCCTTCATCCCAATTGTTCTTCTTCTCCTGAATCTTAAATTCTCTGGATATTTCGCTTTAATACAAATAGCTACAGGTATGCTATTTGTACAGCGTAAGTAAATTTTCCTTTCCAGTACTATACTACTCATGAGTAGACTTCCAGGTTCGTTATCAGATGGAGACAAACTTTGTTGTGGCTGTTCAAGATCATGTTTTGTTAGAATGGAATGAGAACTTGGATTGTTGTCGTTTGAACTGAGGAGATAATTTTGCATGCATCTCATTGAAGATGAAACACTTAGAAATTGGCCAAATCCTGATTTAAAGTGTAAAGTGATGATTGGTTGTGAAGATAGAAGAGATGCGTGTGTGTTGTCAATTTCTAGAGGATCATCATTGAGGTCAATTAAAAGTCTATCATAGAACAAAAGAATAACAGGAAATAATTATTAGTGGAAAGATTTAGATGCAAACATCTTTCATGGAAATATAAAATAGTTTTTAAAAGTTTGTTTGTAGGGATTTTTTGTTTCAGATTTGATCACGGATTAATATCAGTTAGAGAGGCATTGAAAACCACCAGAGATTACTGGACAGTTGTTTCGTCCTGGCCTTGGGCTCTTCGGCGACACGCATGCGCCTGGGTTTGAAACTAGGGCCTTCCGGTTACGAGGCAGGCTTGTAGACCATTCAAGCAATGGGACCCAACTTAATTACTAACCCGTGATTTCTAACTTCTAACAATTTGTGGCTTCAGCGCGACCATCAGCATGTGCCATCAGCGAGTATTTTTTCTCTCTGGAGATTGTGTGGACCACATTGGTCACGACTTCTTACTTGAACTCTAAGCGACCTCGTCCTGGTAGTAACAAATAAACCTCTTGCGCCTTTAAGGTGACAGACGTGTTGTTAACGAGTGTTACACTGTAACTATGGTTACGAAACACAGTGCTCTCAAGCGTTCACTCAGTAGGTACTACAACACCTAACCCGTAAACAGGAATCGAAAAAGGCCTATTTACTTTGAAATATGCCCTAGGAAGCAATAACTTTAAATAAAATAAATGTTAGAATTGTTAGAGGAAAAAACTGAAGGACTTATATGACTAAGGGGTAGCTGAACTACAGTCTCCAAGGATGTACACATTATCCAGTAGGAAGGGAAGCTCAAAAAGATGCCTGTTTAAATGCGTACCCAATGCGTACAAAATTTAAAACATCTAAGTTGACCTTTTCATTCTTCGTCTTCACTTCTTTGATAGCAGAGTGTAAGATATGGTTTCAATCTTCATGAAATTTCAGCAGTGGCGATAGTGTTATTTACATGATGAGATTGGTAGCCCAATGCCCAAACTTCCCTTTCTAGTAAGATTACAGTCAACCAGTATACCAGGAGAGATTTAAGACCAGGTGTGGGGTTGATGAGCATTCTTTCAGTGATCCACTGACGCACCACTACTAACCAAATCATTCTACAATGAATGTATGACACATGTGATTTACAGGCCTCATCACGAGTTGACATCAGTTACAGAACCGCTGGAAACCAAATGAGAGTCCCGGACAGCTGCCTCTTCCTAGTCTGGGGGACTCTTCATCAGTGTGCAACCAGAACCTTCTGTTTACAAGGTGAGCTTGTAGGCCTTTCAGCCACTGGGACCCGATCCAATGACAAGCCCATGAATTTTAACATCTGCCAATTAGTGGTATTTACACCGCAACCGCCAGCCAAAGCTAAAAGCGAATAACCGTCCTCTTACCTGACTCAGTAGACTCCGCTGGTTACAATTTATCACTAGAACTCCAGGTAACTTCCTATATATAGCCAATCACTAGTGAGTATCAGATCAGTTATCAAGTGTTGGTTTGCCGGGATCTGGTTAGTTACAGATTTGATCACGATCTGATATCGCTCTATGCATGTCGAGAATTAGCAGAAGTTTGAATTCGTGGGCTGGTCATTGAATCGAGTCTCAATGGCTAAATGTTCTACCATCTTACCTTGCAACTGGAAGATCCTGGATTTCTAACCCTAATGGTGGGTGCGTACTGATGAAGAGTGCCAGACTAGGACGAGATAGCTGTCCAATACTTCCAGTTGGTTTCCAATGGTTCTCTAACTGATGGTAGGTTGTAGTCAAACCTGTAACCAGAGGAATCTCATCTCTACAAACCGACGCTCGGTATTTATTATTTGTCACGATTCATTGATTGCCTACCACTGACTGTGTGCAACACGCTGGTATTCTTTAGTAATTAATCATTTCAGTAATTGCTTGAAGTGTAACACAGTTTGTGCCGTTATGACAAAACAAAAGAATTAGGTTATTTTTAGGTCACATATACAAAACCTGATGTTCACAAGTGCTGAATGGTTGCCTGCAAATTCAAGGTCGCTAAAATAATCGATAGTATCTATATTATGTACAATGAAGTGTTATGTGACAAAAGTACTGACTTTATTTTCGAAATTGTGTGATATTTTCAGGGAAATATAAAATATATATATATATATAAGGATAAAACTTGGGCACTGTGGTAGAATATACCTTCAATATGGATAAAAAATCTTTCACAAACTATTGATTTTGAGAAGGCTAATTTGATATCAACGTAGAGATACACGATGAAATTACTGGAAAGCAATTTCACAACATTGTCGTTTTCGACATCATTTATAATCTTAAAAAGTTTGAGAATTGTGACACAAAAATATTTGCCGGATTAGACTTTCACTAACAGCAGATGTTTAATCTCTGAAAGCCTAACTGTATTCTACATATTCCCAGCTGATTCAAACAGCCAACTGGAACTCAAGAAGTTTGAATTTTATCACTTCTGTAATCTGAATCAGTCTGTGTACAGTACTGACGACCTCAGCTTAAAAAACGCACAAACTTACATCGAGTGTTTAGAGCACCACGAACCTGCCTGTCAAACATTACTATTTGTTGGAACAGTGTTTGGGACTCTCACTGACCATGCACAGGGTTCAAGGTTTGATCCCCTGCCGGCGTTGACTTGCAAAATTTGGGCTACCGATATCACATGTTGAAGATTCTATGCTTCTATCAAAAATACGGTGTAGAATCTAGCTATAATGAAAAACAGTTAGTGGTTTTAACTATTCACACAAATTAATAGTCTGCGAAATCGAACAATTTCCCATTATTTGGTGATTGAATGTGCGTCGTTGGCACAGCGGTAGAATGCTGTCCAACCACGCCTCACGTGGTCCAGGGTTCCATCCTCGGTCGACGCACACCTTTACCACGCTAGGCCAGTAATAAGACTGATAAAGACGGAAGTAAAACACCCCTACTACCGAAACTTCAAGCCCCCTATGTTGTACTGGAAATGTATACGAATAAAAACATTGGTGACTGATTACAAGACTTTCACTGCAATTCTCTTACGGATGGTTAACATTTAACTGAGCACAATTAATTTTACAGAGAAATAATTTTATGCGTTTATAGCAGCACCATGTGACTTCAAAAGGCCTTTGACTGCGTAGACCAAGAAGTAATTTGAAAGTCACTTCTTCACTGCAGCGTACCTCAAGTCTTTGTCAACCTTATTCAACCACTTTCTATATGACAATGCCAGGTGTCAAGTGATTCACAACGGAAAACTCAGCGAGATGCTATCGAAGTGTACAGAGGAGTAAGACAAGCTGGTTGCGTGCCTATTACCACTGATGATGATAATTCTTAATTGTAGTGGAATGGATTATGCGTCAGAATTTTGGGGAGCGAGGAGACAGGAATCCTCTGGACCACCGATATGAAGACTCTAGAAGATCTGGATTTCGCAGATGATATATTGTCTAGTGTGACACAAACTCGAAGACTTGCAAGCGTATACTAACAAACTGGTTGAAGAGGCAGGTGAACACAGAAAAGACAGAGGAGGATGAAGGTAACTAATCAACCAACATCAACAACAACCAGCACCAATCATCATCAACGAGAGAGATTTTACAGACAGTCGGCAGAAAACAGAACAAAGCAAAGATGTATTATTGAAGACCCCTATGTTCCACTCGGGGCGCAAGGAAATAATAATAATATTGTAATATGATATTACACAGCATTATGTATTCACAGGTGACGTTCAAAACGGAATTTATTACTCACACTCATACTGAGGTGTTTTCACACAGTTCTTTCAAATAAATAATCCCGGGGAATGCTTACCGAAAAATCAAAACAAGATTTTTATGAAATTTTCGCTGTGTAAGTAAGACATCAGAGATTTTTCATCAGAATTATTTGGATTTTATACTGTTGAGGAAGTTGTGGTGCCTTAGACAGCGAGACTTTCAGAAAAGTTTTATTTTGATTTTTTCTTGAACACGTTGGAATTATTTCATATAATTTATAGTGATTCAATCTGAATTGGTGCTCAAATTATTCCAGGAAATTTGTAAAATTCATTGGTCTTCAGACTGACAGTATCTGATTTTATAGTTAATGATATTTTCCATATCTCTGACACTAATGTTGCGTCATTTCCACGACATCTGTTTTGGTGTACATTCGATGAACAAGGATTTATTAATAAGTATCCCATTGACGCAACTACACAAAGTATCTCCTAATCTAGAAATTACCTTGCAATGTTTGTGAGGTCAATGTACCTGTGCCACTGCAGTAATTCAAAGTCATTTAGGTTATGGGAACATAAAATTTAGTTAAGTGTAAAATGATGCACTCTAATCAAATGACGAACTCAGCAGCTGCAATGAGCACTCTAATAGGGTCTCAGCGGCACAGCGACTAGGACGCTTGCCGACCATGCTCATGGTCTGGAGTTCGATCCTCGGTCAACGCACAGCTGATATCAATCGTCAGCCTGCTAAATTTAGGCTGCAGATGTTGAAAATTGCATACTTGTATCAAAAATACCATGTAGATTCACGCTGTAATAGAAAGAATAACATAAAATCACTAAGTTGAGTGGGACCAAGCTGCAGTCAGAAAAGTTAATATTCTTAAACGGAGAACTATGCGCTCTATGTTGAATTGATCTATGCCAAAAACTTATAATATCGGTGATGCTACCTCGACTCACGAGACATGAAAAAATATAATACTTATTAAAGTTTCGGAATTTATTCATTTACGAACCAAGTGAAAAATCGGCATAGAAAATTAACGCTAGAACTTTCGGTAGCAGAGTTTCTATTATTACAGAGCAGGATTCATAGCCTCTTGCCAAATCTCCATTTTATACTGGATTCACAATCAGCTTACCGAAGTTTGGGGTTATGTTAGCCGGGAAGCGAACTTAGTCAGACCACCTGCATATTTGGCTTAAAACCAATCGACGAGACATCATGTATCTGCATAAACAAAACGTAACTCTACGCAAATTCTATTTGTATAACTCCCCGATGGTGTAAATTATCT